TGCCGGGGCCGCGCGCCGGCCTGCCGCGACTGCGCGCTGGGACAGTGGCGCCGCCAGTGGCCCCGGCCGCCACAGCGGAAGCACGTGCCTGGCCCCGGGGGCTCGGTCGGCCTGACCCTCTCCGTCCGCTGCGGGCGTCGCACCAGGTGAACTGCCTCCCCGTCCGTCTCGGCCGGCGCCGGCGCCCCTGACAGCCGCGTCGTCAGATCCATCACGTCCCTGTGCGCCCGTGCCGTCCGCCGGACGTCCTCCAGAGAGAGGTCGTCACCCTTTAGCGCCGCCTCCCGGACCAGCTTCCTCTGTAGCTCACCTCGGCTGCCCAGGACGCATCGGTCTCTCAACTCACGGTCCACCTGCGCCGGCTCGTAGCCGCAGCGCAGGATTTGCGTCCGTAGTCTGCCCAGGAACTCCTCCAGACTCTCTTCCTGCTCCATTTTCATCCCTTGAAACTTTCCTCTTTCCGCCACCACATTATTCTTCGGCACCAGATACCGTGTTAGCTTCCTTTTCAGGCGAGCAAACTCGTCTTCTCCCTGTCTCTCGGCGTCCTCCTCAGGCAGTGAATCGCTGACATCGGCGAGGTCCGGGCCCACCAGGTGCAACAGGACTGCACACCGTCTCGCAGGCCCTTGAATGTCAACAGCGATCATATACCGCTCCAATGCCCGGAGCCACTTTTCAAAGTCCGTGCCTGGACGGTACGGCACCGCAGACACTATCTGCATCCCCGTTGGATCCATCGTGCCGCCGCCCTCTCACCAGCACGTCGTTTCTCCGGTCGGCTCGCCGCCGCTCCACCGTCGGCCCGCAGCCGCTCCACCGTCGGCCCGCGGCCGCTCCACCGTCGGCCCGCAGCCGCTCCACCGGCGGCCCGCAGCCGCTCCACCGGTCGGCCCGCAGCCGGGCGTCACCGCTCACACCGGCCGGTCACCGCTCACACCGGCCGGTCACCGCACACGCCGGTCGGTCACCGCTCACGCCGACCGGTCACCGCTCACCGCGCCGCCCTGCGCCTGTACTTGGCGCTGCAGCTGCGGTTTCCCGCGCTTTTCTCGACGGGGGCGTCACGTGGTAGTGACGTCACACGCACGTCACCGCGCGCGCATGCGCACTCGCCCCACACCGCCCGGCCGCGCGCCAGCTTCCCGCCGAAATTGCCCGCTTCGGGGACCAGGCGCCTCAAACCGCATTGAGGCCCTCTCCGCCGCACCGATCGGCCAATCACACGCGCTACCACAGCTGCGCGTCACCCCCGGCCGACCAATCAGCGTGCAGGACGCCGACGCATGCGCCCCGCACACCACACTGCCGAGGCATCATGGCCGCCACGAATTTCGGCGATCACATGGGAAACCCTGCCAGGACAACGGCCGCCGCGCGACAGGCACACTACCAGCAGCAGCGCGAAAATAAAAATACTAAGCAATACTAAGCACTAAGCATTCGTACTAAGCAACGTTTGCGCCCTCACCGTCCGTGGCCTGTCCGCCCTCGCTGACCACCGCGCACTGATCACTGGCCCGTTTCGCCATCACTCGCAATCACAGCTCCAAGGCTTCACCTTGATCTGATCCTCGTCGCCAGGATGTTATAACGTGAGCTCTTTATTCACAACCAAAGCCGCGTTGCGTTAAACTCCCTAGAGCGCCAAACACCGATCGCTACTACCACAACCGCGCTCCGCGCGGGCCGGCGGCCGACTGCTCTCGAACCCCGCGTCTGCGCGCCGGCGCCGCCAATGGCGTCGCCAGGCCCCCGGGCAGGGGGGAGCAACTGGCGTCGCCAGGCCCCGGGGCAGGGGGGGAGCAGCTCGCGACACCACAACCTTGTCGCGCGCTGACTGGAACGAGGTATGGACGAGCGGTAGCACGGAGGCAGCGTGGGAGGCGTTTGTGCGTGTGTTTATATGCGCCCTGGATAACGTGGCGCCGATGCGGCGCGTCCGTGTGTCACCACCAGGGGCGCCACCTGTGACGGCGGCCACTAGTGACCTGTTGGCCAGCCGCCGCCGAGCGCTCGCAGATACGTCGGCCGCCGGACGTGAGCGGTACAGGGCAATCAACCGGCAGTGTCGGGCGGCGATACGGTCAGATACTGCGGCCCATTTAGAGAGAGAGTGTAGGAAAGCGGGCCCCGCGAAAATGTGGCGAGTGTTGAAACCTGTTATAGGGTGCAACAAGGGAGCTAACGATGTACCGAGAGTCACGCCGAACGCACTTAACGCGTACTTCTCTCAGATTGGCCAAACTACATCCAGCAGTGTGCCCAGACCGACACAGCCACTGGCAGTACGGTTGCCTCGGGTGCATACTGGCGCGTTCAGAGTTGACACAGTGGACATTGACACGCTGATGACAGTTGTTCATGGCATGAAACCCTCCACATCCACGGGCGTGCAGGGCATCAGCGTACACATGTTACAGAAATTCTTTTACGGCGTCGGACCAGTCTTGCTGAACGTGATCAATTTTAGTTTGAGTAGTGGAGAAGTCCCAAAGTCATGGAAACATGCCGTAATTACGCCGCTGCCAAAAACTGCGAACGCGTCAATGCCATCTCATTATCGCCCTTTATCAATTTTACCGGCTATCATGAAGGTTATAGAAAAAATAGTGCAGCGACAGCTGGTTCAGTATTTTAGGGATAACTGTCTGTTCACACCGAACCAGCACGGTTACCGGGCGTCACACTCGAGCGAAACCGCCTTAGCTGTAGTGACCGAGCGCATTTATCGGGGGATGGATGAGGGCTGTATCAGTATATTGGTCATGTTGGATCTCTCCAAATGTTTCGACACTGTTGACCACCACAGACTGCTAGCGAAGTTGGCACTCTATGGAATCGATGAGAACTGGTTCGTAAACTATTTAGCTGGTCATTCTCAGCAGGTCAAAGTTAGTGGGAGCGAGGGTGAACCGATCATGTCAAACACACTACCCAATGACATAGGAGTGTATCAGGGTGGGTCGCTGAGCTGTCTGCTATATGCCATTTACGTTAACGATATGGGTCTGTATATTGACGGAGTCGAAATCATTCAATACGCTGATGATACGCAGCTACTCATATCTGGCAAAAAGAGACACCTGTCTGATATGATTGTGAAACTTGAACGTGCCCTTAGCCAGCTTTCAGATTGGTTTAACGAAAACCGTCTCAAAGTGAATGCAAGCAAAACGCATATGATCGTCTTTGGAACCAAGGCGATGTTAAAAAACCAGCCGAGCATATCGGTCAATTTTTGTGGAACAACGATTCAGGAATCGAGAGTGGTCAAAAACTTAGGGCTTTATATGGACAGGCACATGACCTTTGTAGACCACGTCGACCACGTAGTGGCAAAGTGCAGCGGCAGTCTAGTGGCGCTGACTCATGCGAGACATTCTCTGCCGAGGGCATCATTGAAGTCAATAGTCACTGCGCTGGTCATGTCCATCATTAGGTATTGTGTGTCGATTTACGGCACGTGCAGTAAGACGGAACTCCAAAGAATTCAAAAAATCATAAATTTCGGTGCCAGAGTCATCAGTGGAAAGAAAAAGTTTGATCACATTTCTGAAGTACTCAAGAGTCTCAACTGGCTGTCGTCATCTCAGCTGGCGCAGTACCACCGGGCACAGATGGTTCGCAGAGTCGTGTCATCGGAGTTGCCAGAAACATTGTACTCGATTATCGCTGCCACAGACCACAGACATGAACATCAAACACGACACAACAACCAGCTGCGGCCCCCTGCCATTAGAACGGAGACTGGCAGGCGCCAACTCGCGTACAGCGGAGTGAAACTGTATAACGACGTGTGCCAAAACAGACGTGTTCGAGAGTCTTTCAGGACGGCGCTGTATCGGAACATGAGGGCTTAATCCGGTTAGGTGTGTGAATGTTGTATGGTGTTCTGTTTTGAAAGCGTGAGAGTGGCTTGTATCCCCTTTTATACTCCTTTTTATTGTGTTTTAAAAACAGACGTGTACACGTGAAAAGCCGAAATGTCGGATCTTGTGCGAAATAAATGTCTATTGTCTATTGTCTATTGTCAGCAGGCCGCCGCTCAGATGCAGATTCTCAGGCTCACTGCCAGACTGTGGGGCGGCGCGCGCCACGCCACTTCAGCACGAGCCTGTGATCTTGTAAACTGTGAACACTGCCAGTTCGGAATTAAAAGAGTAAAATCAGTGAACGTCCACTTCGGCTTCATCGACGAGAGCAGCCATCCATGCGCGCCGCCCCCGGCCGCCGCCGCCGTCGCGGCTGCTGTGCGGCAACACGTTTTGTTGCCGGTTCAAGTGTGCTGAGATCTTCGTCTGTCTCAGCAAAGTGTATGATGGGGCGGCCCGCGACCCGGCGGTGTTTTTCGCGACGCTGCCGGCCTTGCAGAACAGTGTGCGACCTGCGGTGCCGGTGGCTGATTGCGGCCCGGCGGCCGGCCGTCCGGGACCCGCGCGCTCACCACGTCCTGTCCTGCTGTGATCAAACTGTGAACTCGGCGCGACACGACTGGCGAGCGCCGAGTGTGTGTTTATGTGAGTATGTATATGTGTGTGGGAGAGGGGCGGCGGCAGTGGCCTGCCGCGCCACGCCGCCCGGGGAGTGTCCGCCGCGTATTTTGTGTGCTGTAGCCGTCCCTCGGTCCTCGCTCGATGTGCCGGCCGCCAGTGACGCTGCCTGCAGGACTGACGGGCGACGGCGGCCGGCTGGTATTCAGCTGTGCCCGGGTCGTTGGCGTCTGCCACCAACCGAGAACGGACCTGTGGACCGTGGCCAATTGCCGCAGACGCTGCCCTCTTAATGAATGTTGCTCGCCGTCGTGGACTCCACGAATCCCATGACATTGTCGTTCCCTTCACCAGCTAGGAGAGATACCGCAAACGTGTTGTTCGTTTCATTGAGCTGCGCACCATTGAGTGCGCCGAGAGCGCACCATTGAGTGCGCCGAGACTGACGTTATTTATCTGAATATTAATATATCCCTAAAATTATGTGCCACTTTCAGTGAAAGCATACAAGTTCAAGTTCATTTATTCACGTTAATCCGCCTTCGCGGCTTTTGATCAACGCATGTCAATTAGCATAAAAACAAGTAGGCATGGGTAAAATACAGGCACACGATCATTCGTACACATCGTTAGAACAGTTGGTATGTAGGTTGTGGGTATCATGAGATCACGATGACTGTGTAGCATATGAGTTAAGGCGTAACAGGCTGTGGCGGCGGCCTGTTACGCCCTGTGTTTTGCGCATCCGCAAAACACAGGGTACGCATGAAAACTCATTTGATTGCTGTATATAAGAAACGAGACAGAGACGGGAAGGAATGTCACACCCGGGTGGCCGCAGGCGGCGCGCACACACTGGTTCCACTAAATCGTAGAAGAGCCACCGTCAACGCAATAAAATGGATATTAGATATCACAAAAACAAACGGCGCGGGCAGCTCGTGGCGGCGCAGTCGCCGGTCTCTCATCGCTGCACCACATTGAACATGTCGCGCACTGTGTTGGCTAGTTTGGATAAGAGCCGCTGGGCGTCGCTGCTGTTGCGCGCCCGCCGGCCGAGCGCAGGGTGCCGGCGTGCGTCTCCAGGCGCCGCTGCAGGGCGCGGAACCGGAGCCAGCCGGTGGGCGGCACCTGGCCAGCGTGCGCGCCGCACGCCGTCAGCAGCAGGCCCAGCTTGTCCGACAGCTGCATGCACGCCACGGTGGAGGCGGACGATGTCTCCAGCGCGCCCTGGCTGCGCTCCACGGCCGCGGCCAGGTCGCGCACGGCCTCCGCCGAGCTGCCGGCGCCGGCCGAGCGGCTGCAGCCGATCGGCGGCGCGCTGGTCGGGTGCGGCGGCGGTTTGAGAGTCCCGCGCTTGGCAGATGTGAAGCAGCGGCGGTAGAGGCTGCGGCGACGGCCGAGCCAGCCTGCTCGAGCCTGTCCCGTCGACCTGTCGTTTTTCGAAGCGCTGACTTGAAGCTGGTGACGGCCTCGTCCGTCTGCGAGCCCTCGGTCGACTTGCGGACGCGGCTCCGCGGCGGTCGAAACGACTGCAGCTTGGCCTCGGAGCGGGCCCACTCGGAGCGCTGCGAGTCGGCCACCGCCGCTGCGGGCGGCTCGCCCTCGGCACGGTTCTCGCGCTGTTTCTGCTGAATCTCCGAGACCAGCTGAGCGCTGATGGACGGGGTCAGGGACGCCGGCGGCTGCGGCCGCGAGCGCTGCCCGGTCCTTAGTCGCGTCACCAGGTCGTCGCTGCGCTTGGCGCGCTCGGAGAGGTTCGAGTACTCGGCGCGGCGGTGCGTGCGCGGGCTGGGCACCGGGTGGCCGGCGGTATCATGGGAACGCCGCTCGACAACTGGTCCCTCAGGCCCGGCGGCGTCGGCGGGAACGTCGGGTCGACGATAAAGTCGGCCTCGATGTCGTCAGGAGGCAGCAGTTCCATCGGCGGCGGGGGAAACCCCAGCTCGGCAGGTTTGTTTCTGGCGCGACGACGGCCGGCGCCGGTCGGTCGCCGACTCCGCGCCGGCCCCGTCCCCGCCGCACCGGCAAACACTAGCGGACTGAGCCGCGACAGCCGCGGTCTCTGAAACTCACTGTTGGACGAGTTGGACCGCACCATGGCTGAGGGCTTCTTGGCGGCGGCGGCGGAGGCCGGCGGCCGCACGCCCTCTGCTTCCGTGTGACTGCGCAGCGCGCGGGCCTCGCCTGCCGCTCCCGCGGCCGCCTCGCCACCCTCCGCACTGCCGCGCAAACCGCTCTCCCGCAGCGAGTCCAGGAAGGCGCCGATGTGCGCGCCTTTGGGCAGCGTACCGTACCGCATGAAGGACTCGTTGACGTGGTGCTCCTCCAGCGGCGCCACCTGCCGTTCGTCCTGCTCGTCGTCGGGGACGCCTGCTCGGGTCATCAGCAGCGGCCGGTACCTTCGGCAGCGGCTTCTCTGCAGGGGCCTCCTCCAGCTCGGAGTTTTGACAGCTCGGAGCGCTGTGAGCTCGTTTCACGCGGCGGCTGCGCCGGCGACGCCCTCCGAGTCCTCGGCCACCTCCTCCGTGTACGAGCTGTCCCGCAACGAGCTGTGGCGTGCACAGGGGGCGGGGACGGGGAACGGTCAGAGCTGGGGCGTGCACAGGAGGGGTTTGGACACGGTCAGAGCTGGGGTATATGCGGGAGGGCGGGGGGCGTGGACTATCGCAACTGCGCAAATCGAAAATGCGACCGAGTCATATCCATACCCTTGAAACAAAAAGTTATAGAATTGTGACGTTACACTCAAAACACGACAAAGTATGTCTCTACTCTAGTCTCTATGCTTTAACCCTCGCCTGCACATGCCATTTTCCCATCCTGGAACGCACATGGGGGGGGGGTGGTTGCCAACCCCCCCCCCGCGCCATTTCGTTCCTGTTGGAGATAGAGCTTCGCGGTAAGGACCAAAACGATTTTTTGGGGAAGAGACGAATCCAATGATACCCAGTTTTACCTTCTCAGGTCAGTCATTGACCTTCCAGGTCAGGTCAAACTAAAAAATGTTGCTTTTTGGGGCCACCGTTGGAATATCACGTGCTGTGCCCATCATATACTGATTGTTTGAGGTGCCAAGCCAGCTAAAACAGCTCTTTGTCACACTATCCGACTAGATTTTTACTGGTTGTGGCCATTTCAGGTCAAGTTAGGTCAAGGTCAATGATATGTGTTTGTCTGTGTGTGTCTGTGTGTATACTGATGTGTGCACAGAATGGTTTGTGTGTCCCTATTAGATGGCATCATAAACTGAGAAGCTTTTACCAAAAAAATGCAGCAAAAAAACTTCATTGAAAGTTAACAGCTAGCCTAAAATGCAATGCTTTTAGATGACCTAGGTTGACATTGACCTTGACCCTGACATCTATACAACATCGAAAATCATGATAGATGAAAGGTAAGTCCAGCAAAAAAAAATGAAATCAAGGTGTCAAAAGCTCACAAGACCCATAGCCAACGCAAGATATTGGGTAACTATTGGTCATTTGGGTCATGACATGACCTGAAGAACAATGTAATATCTCCGAAACCAAAAACCACAAAAACTTGAAATTTTCATTGGACGCTGAGAAAGGATTGAGACGCAGCTATACTGATGCGAAAAATCAAGCATCTAGCTTTTTAAAGCTGTCGCATGTTGAGTGCAGAGCAGAAAATACTAACTGGGGGGGGGGTGGCCCCCCGTGCAGGCAAGGGATAAAGAATAAAGTCCAAAATTACAACAGCATCATCATACATCTGCGATCTCCACCTTACAACTGACTGAAGTATCATTGAAGTCGACCACCATTTTCTCTGACCTGCAATTCAACTTCCTTTATTAAAATAATAAACTCTTTTCAAACTTCAGGTTTGTTTTTGTGGGGAAATGTCTCGTTTTCTTCCCACAAAGTTATCCTCAAAATTGGTGACAATTATAATTCAGCTTTCTTCATTTATAACTTATAAATATCAAAAGCAGTCATTTAGATTAAATTAATTTCATCCATTAGGTTTCTTACCTCTGCATGAAAAATTTACAATTAGAAATTGGCAAAATGTTCCTTTTCGTTGGTTGGTTGTGGGATAAGCACCATATAATATTGGGAGTGGGACAAAGGTGCTAATTGAAACTCTCACCCTGTTCTGATGGTTATTATATGGGAAAAGCTCCCCTAGCTGAGCTGAATTGGGCAGGAACTGAGCTGAGCTGAATTGAGCAGAAACTGAGCTGAGCTGAGCTGAACGGAAACCGAGCTGAGCTGAGCTGAAACTGAGCTGAGCCGAGCGCAGCTGGTTTGAGCGGAACGTGAGCTGAAGTGAGCTGAGCTGCGTTTAACTGTTCACACTGAAATGGCATACAAAGTAAACCTCCCCCTTGTACATCCTAATGGATCACACCACAAGTTTCTTTAAGAGCATCCTTGATTTTCAGTTTAAACAACCCGCAGTTAACTGAAAATCAAGGTTGCTCTCAAAGAAACTTGTGGTGTGGTCCATTAGGATGTAAAAGGGGGGAGGTGCACTTTGTATGCCATTTCCTTGTCTGCAAACTTCTTGGGTCACATTTCTTTGTCTGACCTTCACAAGGCCTAGCTGACAAAGACTTGGGCACCGGACACCATGATTTGTGAAGGTGAAAAAATGCAGCAAAACAAATATGTAGACAAAATGGAGAGAAATATGCTAAAAATATTTGCTTTTACAATAATACATTGTAAGCACAAATATTTGTGGCATATCGTTCTTGAACCTTGCATAAAAAGGGAGAGCCGAGAGGCGAAGAAGTACGAGATAAAGAAATGCCCTCCAAGTATTTGTGTGGATACCAAAACCAAAGACAATTATCGCCATATTGTTACCTTGCATGAATAAAATAATAAAAATGGCATTGCCAGTGCCTCGAAATTTGACAAAACTGGCACCTCCTGAGGCAAAAGCAGTCTATTAAAACTTACCTGAAAACTGTACCCTGAGTATTATATATTTCGCAAATGACACAGCAAAGCCGAGGCATGACCAATTGAAACAAAATAAGTAGATCACTTATACTTCTAACTCATCATTATCCCACAACCAGAAAAAAACTCATTTCGAGACGTATACTCTACTCACCGTGGTATACTCCACGGGTATACTCCAGCTCCGTGCGCCGACAACGCCAGCTTATTGGTAAATCAAGTGGTACTTGAATTAAATACGTGACAGGCGCTCAAAATGCAAATGACGTCATCAGATTGCCGTTAATGGTTAAGAGATTGGGCCTTGTACAAGGCCCATTTTCAAATGAAGGGAACGAATTTCTTCAACACCACGAGGCCGCGGGGGTTGCAACCTAGATAGTTAGTGGTTTCTGAACCTCGCCGCAAACTTGGCTATCTCAACTCAAATCTAATGTAAAGGTGGGACAGTCCCTTTAACAGCAATTTCTGAGTATGAGCGGCAGGCCGGCGGCAGGCGGGATGTTTTTGCAAAGCTTATAGATACATATCTCAGCAACCACTTGACCAATTTACTTGCGGTAATTATTGTAGGGTAGCTTTTTTTATAAATTTAGCTCGAAAGTTTGAATAGACAGATTGACAGAACCGGAACCCACGCCAAGCACAGCTTGTTGCGTGACCCCGATCCCTACCATCCAATCGTGCAATTCCGGGTAACGAGAGAATTTAGATGCCAAAGTTTAACATGCCCTTCAAAGCCGGACACAGCCTGTCCCACTCAACTGACTTCAACTGGCTGCGGCTGCTCCCACCAACCGCGGACCATCCCTGACCCCGTCAGCCGTCAGGAGTCTCAAATATTGAGCGCCGGAGCGTCTCGAACCTGGGCTCTCACTACCGGAGTCCAATGCTCTGCCAACTGAGCTACCGGACAGGCTCAGTTGGTAGCTTCATTCCTTTTCCAATTTCCAAGTATTGTATTGGACTATTCCCCATGCATGTGGGTGACCCCTTATGCAGGTGCCACATGCAAACCAAAGAGGTGTCAGTTTTGTAACAATTGCAATAACTTGGTAGGTGACTACTGGGCTGAATTGATTGGGCTGAAAGTAGGAATTTAGGTAGGCAACCACTTGGCAATGCATATCCATGTGCCACAGTTCAGTTGGGCAAACTAGACCTTTGGAATCAAAATATGGAGGCATCAAAAGATTGATTCCTTTTGGGCATAAATGCAGACAATTTCTAACTTCCCAATCACATAAAAATAAGAGAGTGTTTCAAGAAGGAGCATGCCTGATCTTGAACAGAAATGCTTGAACTATCTTCTAAGCAAAATAATATTGCTCCTATCATAACAATTTGAGTTCTATAGGTAATGAAAGGCAATCAAGGAATTGATTCACTTTAAACAGATAATCATAATATTGATTCCCCATCAGCTGGCTAATCATTGTTTTGATTCACAGGTAATGTTAACAGATAGGCAACAATGACTTGCAAGAATACAGCATTTATCTTTCTATTATTCTCATTTAGTGGTATACTCAGCACCACAACTGATACCTATAGCATTGTTGTACTTTACCTTCACTACATTTGATAACAATTCACAATTTTTAAATGTCAAGAATACAAAAACTGAAGCAACAGGTAAAAACCATATAAATAATATAAAAGCACTACAACAATGATAATTAGGGGTTTAAAAATTTCATTTTGCCATCTTACACAAATACTGATTGGTTAGTATGTGATTCATGATACAAAAATAACATACAGTGTGATTTCCTCAAAACAGCTTTTACGTGATGGACAGTGGCTCTGTCTTTTTCCTATTCACAAGGCCAAAGGGACAATTTCTTAGCTTTGTGGTAACACTTTTTGCAAACCTACCACATTTTTCTACCTTTTAAAAGAAAAATCTCACCGTCATGGGCCTTTTTTCAACCGTAACGATTCATTTGAAGTCAAAAGTGTACCCAAATGAATCAAAAAATTGATTCCATGCCCATATTTGGTCATGGCTCCTCCCACCAGAATCAAATTATTGATGCCTCCATATTTTGATTCCAAAAGTCTAGTTTGCCCAACTGAGTTCAAGTTGGGGTGCTGCTGCGCATGTTCATGTGCAGGGGTTAATTCCAGATCTCAAGAAGGGCTGAACCTATTGCGCTGAAGTTTGGTACATGGTTAGGGACTGGTTAGAAATCGGTGCCATACAAAAAAAGTTAGGATGGATTTCGCGCATGCACACGTGTAGGCTGCCGCTTCCAAATCTTGAAAACGGCTTGGCCTATTGCGCTCATTTTTTGACACATTGCTAGGGACCAGTTAGTAGGGCTAGGGTGCAGTTAGTAGGGTGCAACTATATGGCCTTGGGGTGCAGTGCACAAATTAGTTGGAGGTACCCCCTCGCAATTTCGCACGTGCAAGGCCCACCCTTGCCCAGGGTATACCCTTACCCTCCCTCTGTCTCGCTCGCTCCGTTGCAGTTAAAGTCGCCCCAGGGCCCAGAAAAGGCGTTTTCAAGGCGGCGTTTTACTGGTATTGTTAAATACACTGTTTTCGCCTTAACTACACTACACTTTGATTTTAGCCGAAAGGCCGAGAACTTTAGCATTTATCCGACGACCTGTCTTATTTATTCAAAATAGGGGTAACATGCAAACTTGATACAAACATCGGTGACATCGCGCATGTTACGAATGTCTCTCTTGCGCCAAAAACAGAAACTTTGGAAACTTTACTGAAAATACTACCAAATGAAGTTAAACAGGGCTGTGTGAATTATTTCAAGGCTTTGGCTTAGCTAGATCACAGTGTATATAAATATTATAGCTAGATTACTCTGAATACCGAGATCACTTATTAGTTATCACATCCAATATTTCAAGAAGATATGTAAATCCGTGTGAAATAAAGCACGAACTTTAATTTGAATGCCCAATAAAGGGATACGTTTCCTCAGGAGTTTCAGTAAAACTTCATCTCTAATATAAAGTATGTTTTATGTCGCTCCTCATGAAGTTTTTTTACTTGTTCAGAGGGAAAACTTTATAAAAAAGTATTTTTAGTACGGTTTGCCTTACTCTTGTTCTGGGCCGTTTTCTTACAGGCTTGCATTGCAAACATGTGAGGGATCTTTCCAAATATTTCAAAGATATTTTGACAAAGAGCTCAGCATTTCTTCCATTACAACGTGAATGTTGTTTCGTGTACTAACTAAAGATTTTGTACATCTGACTCCGAGTGGTATAAGTCTGCATTGAAGTGAGTAAAACTGATGACTAAGGTGGAGTGCAATTTGGACTTGAATTTAAATTCAAATTGTGATTTGGTATGTTTTTTTTTGCGTCATAGGTGGCGGAACGGGGAGGGCACAGGTGTGAATAATAATACACGATAATGAAAATGCCACATTCTCAAAAAGTTTCTTTATACTAATCAAATAAAGCAGTGGCGCAGCCAGGGGGGGTGAAAGGGGTGAGATCTCACCCCTGTCTCTTATCCTAGGGGCCCACCGTCGATTCGAACTGTAACGTTATGCAGCCTGACAATTTTTTATCACTAATGTCAAGGTCCGTCATAGGACTGAAAAACAGTTTTCAGGCCTGATAGCCCCCCCTCCTTTAGGATTTATAGTCCCATTTTATGATTTAAGGGGGTACATCCAAGCCCCGATTGAACTAATCCAAGGCCTAGGAGGGCCCATTCCATGGCATGAGAGGGCCATTTCAGGCCTGAGAGGGTCCATTTCAGGTCTGTGAGGGCCCATTTCAGGCCTGAAGGGGCCCAGTTGTAGCTTGAGAGGGCCCATTTCAGGCCCTAGAGGGCCTGTTTGAGGCTTGAGAGGGGCCATTTCAGGCCTGAGAGGGCCCATTTGATGCCTGTGAGGGCCCATTTCAGGCCTGAAGGGGTCCATTTCAGGCCCTAGAGGGCATGTTTGAGGCCTGATAGGGCCCATTTCAGGCCTGAGGGGGCCCATTTCAAGCTTGAGAAGGCCCATTTCATGCCCTAGAGGGCCTGTTTGAGGCCAGAGAGGGCCCGTTTGAGGCCTGAGAGGGGTCCATTTCAGGCGTAAGAGGCACCATTTCAGACCTGAGAGGGTCCAGTTACGGTATGAGGGGGCCCTTTTTTGACATGATAGGGACCATTTCCGGGCTGAGGGGGCCCATTTCAGGTCTGAGAGGGCCCATTTCAGGTCTGAGAGGGATAATGTCAGGCCTGAGAGGGCCCATTTCAGGCCCTTGAGGTCCTATTTGAGGTCTGAGAGGGGCCCATTTCAGGTCTGAGAGGACTAATGTCAGGCGTGAGAGGGCCCATTTCAGGCCCTAGAGGACCTATTTGAGGCATGAGAGGGTCCACTTCAGGCCTGAGAGGGGCCACTTCAGGTCTGAGAGGGCCCAGTTCAGGCCTGAGAAGACTCGTCCCAGGAATGAAAGGATCATTCTATGTGTGGGAGGGTCCGTACTCCGTGCCTGGTCTGGGTCTGAGAGGGCCTATCCCAATCCTGTTTGAGCCGATATCATGTTTGATATAGGCAGGGTTACTTTTACAGGAAAAGTCGAGAGGGGGAATAAAGTTCGGGGCAAGGGCGGATCCAGGGGCATCTGAAAGGGGGGCCCAATGCCATTAGGTTTTTGTTAGGATGGCGCCTGCAGAACCTTACCTCCCCCAAATCCTACTCTCTCCCTGGATTCTGGCCACTGGCCAGGCCTGTGCCTGCCTCACCGCCCGGCCCCACCCTGACGTCTAGGGGTTTGACGCCTAGGCATTCATCAGGACTCCACACCGGTCCATGATGGCTCCAAACTGACACCTGAGGCTCCTGCACCGGTTTTGAGGGGCCCACCGACCTCTGATAGCCACCACGCAGGTCTCAAAAGACCATGTCGATTGATGATATCTAAACACCCAAGTCTTGGAAGGCCTGTGCTCTATGCAGATTCTTGAGGGCTTTACGTGGGCTTGTAAACATCCCGAACTGGCTTTAGCCTAGCTCGACCGCACCCCGCAGAGCAGGGCCCCAGGCTTTCCAGTTTTACGCCCCTGAGGGGTGTTTGAATATTCCCTTCTAACCTGACTCCAGGGTCACGTAGCGACAAGTGCGGCGGTAGGCGGCTTTCTAAAGAGCGTCGAAAATCATGGGGAAATTACTTCAGTCATGTTGCAGTTCAGACCAAAGCCCACGTCATCATGTTCATCGAAGGAAAAGTTTCGCCTATTTCTACACTCGAGATCAGGACAATGATCTGACCTTTCTTTGTTGGTAAGGGGCCCCCATTAGGTTGAGGGGGGCCCATCGCAAACGTCTCTCACCCCTGTCGCCAGAGTTCTGGCTGTGCCACTGAAATAAAGTGTTCTGTAAAACCAGGGATGCGGAGCCGGAG